TGATCTCTCTTATGGATCGCCTTCCACATATCTCTACTTTTCTACAGTTCATGACCTCTTGTCTCGCTTCACTGCTTCTATCTACTTCTCTTTGTACATCATCGATGAACTCTCTCAGTATGGTTCACTGATTTTGTTCATTCTCACATTTGTATACTCACATTATAGGTAGTTGTATCAGGAAATAAACTCGAGAAGGGTCAATTTCCGTTAACGTAGGCATAAATACGTTTTTAGTCTTATTTTTTATCTAACATAGACTCATGGTTCGCTTTTAATTTGATCGACTTAGCTCTATGGTTTACTCAGAAAGGTTTATCTCTTCTAGAAAACAGTGGTTTTCTATCATATGATAACAGATTTAATACCATCAAACAAATATTTTTTAAACGTAATGAACAGTCATAAAAATATCACAAAAATTCATACTCAGTATGAGTGCATTTGATTATATCGTGAATCTAAGTTATTTATTACTGGTGGTATATTATATTTGAATTAGAGATGAGACCGTGTTCGTGAGAATTCACTAACGTACGCTATACAGTTCGAAAGACTGGTCGCCTCCGTCAATACCAACGTACAAAGATGATCCTTGAATCATTGTTAGCATAGTATCCTCACTATGATCGTTCAATTTCTTGACTGTTTTAAACTAGAGCGTAATAGCATACTTATTTTATACACTGTCCTTCAAGTCATCTACTAATTGCTTACCGTTGCAAATGGCTTGCATGCATTACTCTCGCATTTTCCTTTTAGCTCCGGATAATCGGGGACGCTGTATATTCCACCTAATTTTTTGATGTGTTCAAACATATCTTGTGGCTAGGACAACAGTCGACTACTCGAGCAATACTTCCTCGACTAATTGAAGAAAAATATTTGCGACAGGAATTTGAAAAAATATGACTTTGTCTTTTAAAGTTCGACGTATCAAACAATCGGAGAAATCTTTTATGAATATTCGGGTTTTGATTCCGATCGCACATTCACTCCTTCAGCAAATGATTACTAATACTTCCTAGATATTTCATGAACAGTTCTGGCTGTTAATTCTGATCTATGCATTTTCACTTGAATCCGACATCCACTTATCGCGATTGCGGCAGTTGCGAAAAATGATGTTCAACATGTCGCCATTACCCATTTTAAGTTATTGAATCTGTTCACTATTTTTTCCAGTAATGAATAATAAACAGGTGACTCAGGGTAACTTATTTTTCAGTTTCGTCGTAAACCGCGGCTATCCACTTTTTTTGACTACCAAAATCAATCCTTTTCCAACTTGGTAAGAACAATATGATTAACGGGAAGCGTCTTTTGTTTCCCCGTCAACCATGAGCAAATTAATTTCTCGCTCAATGAACTAACAATCTAAATTTTTACTCATATATGGAAATATATTCTTTTGAAGCGTCAACAATAACGTTCTGCATGTGGTTTAGAATTTGATATCGGGCAAAAGGTACCATAAGTCTTTCTTACAACCCAAATGACCTGTGACCTTTTTGTGTGAAAAAAGCAACAGTAAGAAGAAGTTGCCCCATTCCAGCAAAAAAGGAGCCGAACGTAAATTTCCAAAAGAAACAAAGGGCGATCTTCCGATGAGCCAGCTATGTATCCAAAGGAGAAACTCGCATCTGCTCGAAGAAAGACAATACTCGGATCTGTAACCGAACACCAGGTTGAAGACCAGATTGAACGTCCGGTATCAGGTTCTCTTTCTTATTCTATTGCTCCAGCCGGCGGTTGAAAACTCTTTCGTAGAGCTTTACGATCGCATTCAGGATTGAGATAGGACGCAGCTCGTCGAGGGAAGGAAATTGATCGTTCTTCGATAAAATTAACAAATGAGCGGTTTTAAAACAATGAGGAAAAGAATTCTTAATAGATAAACGGTTGAATAGAGTTACAAAAAGACACATATTCGATGGATAGCTTTTTTAAAATAATATTCGACGAACCGTGCACGTCTAGGGCTTTCTTCGATTCCAGATAAGTGTGTTTCTGTCTTTATAGTCAGATCAATCTACATCTCCGCTGCAATCAATTGAAAATAATCAAAATGATACGTTCACCTCATTCACGACATCGGACGAAAGAAGTACAAGTCTGTCTCATGCTTGTTGGTTTGGTGCTGTTTTTTATCGTAATTCTTCACTAGTACTTAAAACGAAACAGTTTGAAATACTGAAGTTTCTTTATACGTTATAGTGGTGATGAGTAACAAGACATTTAATTCACATTTTTTGAAAAATGTTTCTGATTAAATTTAATGCCCTGCAGAAAATTTAACAACAAGGCAGACATGGTTGTGAAACCTTGAATCTGAAAAATCTCGAAATCTTAACCTTGCTAGTTAGTAAAACTATTTTGTTCGCTTTATTCAGTAGCAATCACTCTGAACCACTTGTATTAAAAATACAGCTATGTATATGTGACAGTGGAAATTGGAACTAGTGCTAATTGGAATTCCACTCCGTTGGTGCAAATTAGAATAAAATGACTGTTCTAATTTCAACTAGTGGGAATTGGGATTCTAATTTCTACTATAGCGGAATTCTGAATTCCACTAGAAATAAAAATCATACAGATTATTCTAATGTACACTATAGTGGACATCGGAATTTACTATATTTTATCTATTAAATATTATATTATATATTATTTATTTATTTATATATGTATTATGTACTAAAATCACTAAACGTTTGAACAAACTTGTTTTTTACTGCTATGATATTTCGTAACACATTTTACCTTTTTGGCTTTACATGGACAATGTTTCGCGGCACATTGACCTTTACAATGGCAATCTTCTGCTGCTATATCTACACCGGAACTAATACACATATATTTCTGACAAGCTTGGATGAATGTTTTTGTTGGTAATGTTGATGGATCAACCGTCCGTAAATCATTAAAGTTACATTTTGTTAAATCCGATAAATCGTGTATTTGGCTCTGTATTATAGTAAACTCCGATTTTCTTTATAGTGTACATTAGAACAATCCGTATGATTTTTGTTTCTAGTGGAATTCGGAATTCTCTTATAGTGAAAATTAGAATTTATTCTAATTTGCACCCGTCGATATTGGAATTCCAATTAGCACTAGCAGAAATTAGAATTCCAATTTCCACTGTCACATATACATATCACTAAACACACGAGAAAGCATGAGACTAATGACATTATAAGAACTAGACGGAACATGACGTCAGAAGACACAGGGCAGAACGATGTAATGGCGTAGCCTTATCATGTGATGTCATAACATAACATAATGTGAGAAAGGATGAAACGAGAAAAACAAAAGTGCTAAGAAATGAAGACTACTACTAGACAATCTGTTTAGCTTCACGAAGAAAAGTAAGGCTTGAAAACTTCAACCATTAGAGTTCTATACCACTAAAATCGAGGACAAGCGAGTGTCTGATGATAGTGAGCTACTCGGAGATGTTCAAGTGTCGGTCAATAAACCGTTCCGATTTTTCGGAATATCTCAGGATATTCGAACAAAATGACTTTACACGATATATGTGGTAAATAGAAATATAAGCTATTAACACTGCTCACCACTGTCTTTTATTATTGTTTCATATAACAATCTAGCTAAAAAAATCTTTATATGTAAACAGATAATAATTACCGATAATAATTGCGGGTGCCAACGAAAATAGTAAATTTAAGTATATATTCTAGTATATTTAAACGAGGGAAAGCAAAGCTTCTCCTGAACTTTCTTAAGACAGAAATTTCAAATCTTTTCCACAGGATCTTTTTTTCATATTTATTACATTATAATGCGTTAAATCGTAATGCCTTGTAATGTGTTAGCTTTTCTATTGTGTTATAACGCGATAAATTTAAAAAAAAACATGTCTTTAATGCATTGTAACGCATTAGCGTAACGAAGTTCTTCACACGTTTCAACGACAAAAATTTATTGCATTAGAGTGCATTAACTGTTCAGGCGCTGTAACATTATACGTGACAGTGGTACTAAGTGTACTTTGGGAGTTTATGTCCTAAGTCTCAAGTCAGTAAGTACTGACTTGAGACTTAAGACATTAACTCCCGTTACCGACAGTAACGTGTATGTCTGATATAGTTGAAGTAATTTTCCCCGCACCAACTTTTCGAGAGGAATCGATTGGCAGTCTCAGAATTTTATGCAAATGTGTCCTTTACTTAATATTATTAACTCGTTACAATACGATATGCAATATCTGATGAGTTATAATGCTATAAAAGATTTTTCCAAATTTATCGCATTATAATTAGATAAAACATCTAAGGTATTATAACGCATTATATTGAAGTAGAAAGCCTAAACGCGTTACGGTACATTAGAATCTAACGTACTATAAGGCGGTAGACAAATCTAATTGCGTTGTAACGAGATAAAAAATTGAAACGCATTATAATGCTATAAACTTATAGAGTTGTTTTACAATGAAAATTTCTATCCACTTACAGCGCCATAAATTCCTGGAAAATAATTTTGCAATGCGTTGACGGGCTACCTTTATTGCCTTGTAATCAGATAAATCTATAGCGTTGTAATACCATAATTTTAAGAGAAGCATGTTTCGTGGCGTTATAACGCTATAAATAGAGACAAAAAGATCCTGTGGGTTCAATCTATACTCGTACTTCTTTAAGTGTAGCGCTATATTGCCATGCTGAGAGGCGGCACTAAAAAGCTATTGCCACGTTTGAAAGTTACCAACTAGAGCTATTATCACCCTGTCATACCCTCTGACACAGTACTATGCGTCGAGATAGCACTACCTTTACCTGATACTCTTGCAAGGTGTCGATAGTGTCTTGATGACACCTCTGAAGGTGACAATAGCTATTCCACTTTTCTAAATGCTCCTTCAAACAATGTATAAATCAGCTTTTTATGTTGTACCAGAGGTAAACCATATGTAAAACCAAAATGGTATAAACTACTGCATAACCACATACTCATTCTCTTCTCTAAGCAAGCTATAGCTCTATATCTTCTAATGCCTTTTCGATCAGCAGACTTAGGCGAGTCATATTGATAATGATAGAAGCATCATTACGTGAATCAGATGCACCCGAATAATCCCATACAAAATCCTGTTCACCATAAATCTGATAATAATCTTTGATGTAATGAGGAAAGTAGTTATGAAATTCACCCTCTAATGTACCAGAATATCCCCTACGGACATCCTGTATAGGTGTTAAAACATAGTAATCCATTATGATAGCATGAGCTCCTCGTGGAAGAAAAGGTGCTCTGGTCGATACTCCTCCTGAAGGCGTAATGAGGATAGTTGTGTGAATGAGCATTTCGATTTGTTTCGGAAAGGGTATTTTGTGCCATTCGACCACTTCGAACGAGATCGTTGGATAAGTTTTACGAATAAATTCTTCGACAGCTTTCATATTAGCAATGGTTCGATGTCCTATTGAGAGAGATTTAGCAGAAAGTGAATGTGATTTATTTGTAAGTATTATATGATGTTTGATGGGTATGAAGTCAGGATCGAATCCATGATGTTTAATAAGCTTTGATCTCCAATTGTATAATAAAGTTTCTCGCCCCTGATTCTTGTCGTATAATGATGGGTCAAAAAACCGAAGCATGCCTCCAGCCATCAGTTTGTCAAAGCAGACATAACTTGTGTTGAAACTACTAATATATGGCTTCAATTCAACCATTTTTTCTGGTGTTATAGCTGACAGCACGTGCTCTTGATATTTCAGATACAAAGGATCTTTTGACATCGGACTTGCATGCATAACAACTGAACGGTTATCAAGCTCATTCATTCGTTCCATGGAATAATGGATCATTCCGAACTCTTCCCATAATATATGACCTACATTATTAGGGAAGTAAATCTGCCACAGCGTGTGTAATCTATTGAGTAATATAACATTTTTAGTTGGCAACGCTTCATCAACAACAAATGGCGCCCATGGTACACCTCCAACGATAGAAAGTGACAAAAATTTTTGTCCAAAATCTGTCAGCATTCCCTTCGCGGAGTCGAAGAACACGGGTTTCTTTCGATGAGCACGCCGAAAATATTCAAAACGTTGAAGATTCGTATTATAACAAATACGATTAAACACGCACAAGCGTTGTACCCATGAGTCAATATTATTTTCGTGTCCAGTGCAGCGAAATTTCGAGTAACGTTTCCTTTTACTTTCGTCAAAATACTTTGTGGCAATTGAAAAAGATGTGGTCGATGTATTTCTACTGGTCGGAGCTTCTTTCGAATATGGAATCGCTAGAATTTTCATTGCGCCCTTCAATGTATCCGTACTACGAGGTGATATTACGATAATCATGGTAAACGATAGAATTAAAAGGATAATTAATATACATACTGGAACTGGTATCCATTTATAGTTGACTACTGTACCGGTCCTTTCCATTTTAGTGTATCATGGAAAATATATTCCAGAATCGTAGTTATTATACCTTGAATTATCCGATAACCTAGAACAAAAGAAAAGATCGTTAGAAACGGCACGAAAAACGCGCTGGTGAACGATCGTTAAAACGGCTCTTTAAACGCATATTTTGTTGTTCAGAACTTTAGAATAAAGCGTTCTTCGATAACGCAGTGAATGATCGTTGAATTACCCGTTTTCTGGCGTTTTTTCTGAACGCGTTTTCTATCGACTTTAACATGTTATAACCTCGAATTATTTTCTTTTTGTAAACGCGTTTAGAAATGACACGTTAAAACGCGTTTTAACGATCATTTTAACGTCGTTAGAAAACGCGTTCAACAAAAACGCCACAAAAAGGTTAATTCAACGATCGTTAACAAATGCGTTGTCAAAAATCGCGTTATTCTAAAGCTTTGAACGACAACAAACGCGTTTAAACGACTATTTTAACGATTGTTCACTAACGTGTTCGGCAAAAGCGCGTTTTTCGTGCCGTTTCTAACGATCCTTTTTCGACTGGAAAAGAAGTAAGGATCAATTAGTGATGCACCCTTTTATTTTAGTCACCAAATCAAGTATATTATTGTCCGTTATCAAATATAAAGCGTTTCTCTCCAACACCGAACAGCTTTCATTTCTTACATTCTTTAAGCCATTACCTATGAATAAGTTAATTATCATGACGGTTTATAAATATATATTTGTTATTTTGATCGACACGCAAGTAGGCACGAAGAAGCAGATAAGATAACTGAAGCTATTGATATGTTCGGAGAGATTTCTGCGTCGTTCTGTACGTGAATGGTTATAATCCGAATGGTTTGAAAATTTCCCTATAGGAAGGGCATTTTCCGATTTTTTTCGCGGATATAATAGAAGACCATGATCTTCTATTTTGACTTTCAAGTCATATAATCGGCAGTGGTCTTCTATTATGAGGAGGGGGGTTACGTGCCGCTACTCTACGAAAAGCGAAAGTCTAGAAAATTTGGACAGAAATATGCATGGATAGCTTTCCTCTGTGCAAATCCATCCATGTCCGTCTAACGCAGACCTCTACAACTGGATCCTTCCAATGAGTGCGCAAAGCATCAATCGATCCGTGGAGAAACGTTTCTGTTTATACCCTAGTGAGAAACTTTCACATTTCTTGATAGACTCGTAGAGAAATCCTGGCGGGATCCTTTTAGGATATAGTTTACCTTTAGATACGCTTCTAACAAAATCCTGTACATTAAAAAATTTGGTGCTCGCCCGCGCTGAACCAAACTACATAAAAAGTGGGTGCCAGATGCAAAATTTGTCAGCGAATCCGACAGCGGATTCTTTTATTTTCATTTTGACTTCTTTGGCATCGGCATAATCCATGTAGTTTTTGCCTAAATTTAATTTTTCTCATTGATTGAGAAACCAATCTTTCTGGACTAGCTTACCTAAGCTAGGTTGATGGTGACAGTTCAGAATGGAAAGGACAACCGTTTTCATCAGCTAACGAATTATTAAAATTTCAGGCCCTTAAATATTTTGTGAACCTTTTTGAACTTAAAATTTGGATTGGGAAGGTTAAAGTCTCGATATTCTTGATCAGTTCAAAAAGCTCTATCGAATCATGTATAAATAAGCTGGTAAAAATATAGTGCGCTCTTTTCGAATTAGAGCGTTTTAGGATAAACTAGCAGAAAATCAGATAAAACCCTACTGCACTCCTACAATAGGACTCTGTAGGATCTTGTAAGAGTCTGCAAGATCTGACTATAGGATCCTATAAGAGAATTTTGTAGGATTCAAGTAGGATTGTTTGATCTGGGTACCGTATAAAATGTTATTTATTTCCCAAAGAGATTGTTAATTCCCAACGTGGTAAACTGAAAAATCGATAGAACGTCACTTATCCACTCCGTCCGCGAGATAAATTACTGTTCAGGAGAAGTTTTACAAAATATGTGAGTAAGAATACGGACATGAAGGGAGCGAAAATTTTTCTTAAAAATAATCTACTTTTTTGTCAAACATCGACTTGGCTACCACAACTCCAAAAACCACTGTAAGGCAGAAGCTAAACGATTCTCTGTTCTGTCGAGTATTCTTCGACTACTAAGAATGATGAAAAGTACCTTCATTCTTATATTTCCTTTGGTAAAAAAGCAAGAAGAACAGAAACATAAAAAAAGAAAAATTTCTGGTTACGATGTCTTCTATTCTGAAACTAATAAAACATGTCTTCTATTCTACAAAACCGATAAAACTTGCGTATGAAGTAGCGAAGTTTACTGCGGAATGCTATTCGAAGAACATTATTATATCTGGTGATCATTCAACTGTTATTTTTTGCTTACTTTAGTTTGAATGCATCAGACATATAAAGCACAAAGGTCAAAATTTTGTGCACGATTTGAATATTAAATATTTACCAACATATAACCAGAAAGAATGAATCACTCTTGCACTTTTTCAGGTTCACGATTCTTGTTTCTCTTTTCTTTTTCTTATGGTCGTATGAACAGAAAAAGAGAAACAAAGATGTTTAACGGACAGAAAGATGGAATTTTGTAAAGCATATTTCTTTTTGAAAAGAAGGTAGAAAAGTGATCAAGTGTTATTCGTAAGAGAAAAACCATTGAAAAATGAATTGCTTGTTTCATAGAAAAATTCTGATAAAAGAATATGCATAAATGTACGCATGCTTTTATCAATGCAATCGGGCGGTTAATTATCCAATATTTGTTTATTGTTTCAACTCCTCCACTGTCCAAGAGATCAAAGAAAAGTTGGAATTGTTTATTTATTGTTTAGAATGCAAAGATCGTACTAACATTTGCGTTAGACAAACAGGCCGTGAGGTAGACATTAGAATGAACCAGCATGAGACGAAAAGAGACAGATGATTTATTTTCAAAAATATCTGTACATGTCCACTGCACATTTTTTGGGATTCTGATTGACGCAGTCATTAACTTCCACATAAATCGATTAAAGTAAAATTGAATGATTGCCCATAGTGGTCCTGCGTAAAATAAAGATAAAAAGATAAATTATTCGATCTGATTGGTGAAGATGGCTGCTCAACTAATCAGATCGAACAATTTATCTTTTTATCATTATTTTATACAGGATCACTAAAAAACCCACAGATTTGATAGAAACATTGTATAAACAGGTTCTTGAAAAAATAAAACGAATATTTCTGATTATAAAAGCGACTGGAAAGAATTTGAGAGTAAATCCAAGCATTAAAAATAAGTGCGAATATTTTCACACTTAGATAACTTTGAATTTTATTCCTTCTTGACCATAGGTGTTTAAGGAAGAATCTATGACTCTATATGGTCGTATAGCCAATGGCTACGACTGTCATAAATAAAAACAAAATGTAAAGAAAATTTGTCACTCTTGCTCTTGCAAAATCTTGAGTGGCTTCACTCAAGATCCTGAAATTTCTGTTCCTAAGATCTTGAGTGGAAGATTCAAGAATCCAAGATCTTGACTTCCTGGTGTTTTTTCCAAGACCTTGTGACATTTCTTAACCCAAGATCTTCTTGGGTACAAGAACCACTGCGGTAGTAATCAGGCGATGGGTAGATTTCCACTCAGTTTCAACTATCGATTTATCGCCCAATGATCGATCGATTTAACTACCGGGTAGTTCTTTTGGAAATGCACCGGACTTTACATCAACTTTCTGCCAATCGTATGGCACTTTCGTGATGAGTTCTACTACTTCTGAAAGTACCATGCAATTGGCAGAAATTTGATGTAAATGTGGTACATTTTCAAAAGAATAACCCATGTGATGAATAACCCAAAATAGTCTCTGTCTTTTCCCATTATTTAGTTATAAAAAAATTTGTCAGAATATCAAGATGTACTCACCTGTTCATTACTATGCAGTTCAATAAAAGCTTTAAAAATCAACAGAATATACTCCAGTTTTTGACAAGATTTTCTAGAAAACTTTCGAAGTACAAGAATATTTTTTACTATTCTCATGTAAAAAGTCGTTGGAGAAGGCAAGATACAGTACATCCTGATATTCTGACATAATTTGGATGGGTCTTGACTGGGTTATGAGTTTTTTGATTTTACTCAAAAACAGGATATTTCAGCTAATACAGGTTTTCACTAAGTTTCGCGTGATCGAGTTATCAAAAGAACAACGACCTGTCTTATAGTTTGGGTTGAATAGTAGTGAAAAGTCCCTTTTCCAAGTATAGTCGGTCGCTAAAGATCGATGACTCTTCGTTTTTACAAGCTACTTTTCACTGTAACGGCCACTATCTATACGTTGGAGTACTTTGTGATTATATTTTGTCCTAATGAATATTTTGATATGACTCAAACTCTTGTTATAGCCGTCTTTCGCGGTTTGCATTTGAAAAATATTTAATCAGCCTCTCTGCTAAATATTCAATGTTACAGAAAATAACTACTCGGTTATGGTGGAGAAAATGATAAAACAACGGATTTCTTTTCAGTTTTTTCACGCATTGACTGCTTGTTACTGCAGCAACGAATGATAGAGGATTCTCAACTCTCTCATTTTAATTTTGTTTGTCACAATATAAAGGAAACGGACTTCTGATATAGGAATTATTTGAAAATTTTCAATAGGCGCTCCTAGAGTGTATTTGGAATATTTTGACTAATCAGAAGCAAATAGCATGTAATGTCGGCTACAAAGCGACAAAAATTGGGCTGACATCAATGACTAGTACTAATCTACGCAAGGTAACCCTCGTCTACACTCGCTCGGTCCCTTGACTTTAGGAACTTATATCTGCGAACGACTATCCATCACTTTTGAATCCAAGACAACGCTCACGCCGACCGAAGAGAGGCGTTCGCTAGGGGGCTATCTGAAATATGTTCGGTCTGCAGTAACGTGATCTTTTGGT